ATCTGTAGCCTCCTCTTCAACTGCCCAGACTCCCACACCCCCTGTGTACCAACTCCACAAGAGTCCAGTGTGAAAGCCCTGAGGGAGGTGAGTGGGCCCAATTTCCCAGTGGGAGAGGCTAACGCAGCACCAACACACAGCAGCTTGGGTGCTGCCTGGCTGAGCAGAGACCAGGACACCCTCCCGGCCAGATCACAGCAGCACACTCAGGACTCAGGGGAACCTGGTACGGTACTAGTCCTGCAAGGGCTAGAAGGGACAGAGCTGCCCAGGGAGGAGGGCTCCTGGGGTGGGGAAGGGAGTGCAGGAAGAGCCGACAGCTTGGGGTCCCACTTTCCACCACGAGTGGTCCCAGGGATATGGTGGCACTGGGGAGTGTTCAGCACATTTCTTCTATAAAGAGGAACGTGACGGACTCATCTAGGGTGAGTCTGGGCGTGTGTGATGTGTATGTGTGTGCAAGATGGAACACCTGCACCCCAGGCCCCACAGACTGCAATGCTCCTACATCCACCACATATTTCCAAAAGGCCCCTGCCCTAGGGCAGGGCAGGTGGCATGGCAAGTGAGAGGAGAGCCATGTGGCCGCCCAGGCCCATGAAGGGAACCACACAGCCCTGCTTTCCTAGGACAGCCCAGGCCTAGCAGTGCCTCTCGCTAGCTTCACAAAGTCCTGCTTTGGTGATAAGTCACATGGCCACCTAGCTACACCTCTGTCTTCACCAGCCCATGCCCTGGTGGGGTGACTGGTTGTACTGGGGAAGGGGTGAGGGAGGGGACAGGGAGGAGAGTGGGAAGGGCCTCTCAGTCAGAAAGCACTGCCAACAGCCAGGATATCTCAAGAAAGAGACATCCTCAAAAAGGTGAACTTCTCAAGAAAGTCCATTTCTGGCCCATCGCCAGGCGTGAATCTGTGAGAGCCACCGGTTCATAACCTCTGACGACAACGCACCACGCATCCGTCTCTCATCCGTTCATCCATCTGGACACGCCTGCATTAGACACCAGCTGGTACTTACCAAGTCCCAGGTCCCTTGGAACTGCACAGTGAGACTATGCTTCAGGCCCACTCTATAAGCCATCACTGCTGTCACAGACCCACCCTCTGTCCTGAAGGACACCCAGCCACTTAGGGAGCATCTCTACTTGGAAAGCTCCAGAAACCTCAGGTTTACCATGTTCAAAAACGTAGCTGCCATCTCACTCCCTCAGCCCACAACCAATGCTGCCCCCCACCTACTGCCAGAAAACCCCAGGCTGCTCCGGATTCTGTTCTCCCCTCACATGGCCCCGGGTTCTGGGCTGGCTGTGTCTCAGCAGCCCCCATCTCCCATCTTCTCTGTCACCACCACCTGACCTTGCTCCAGCAGGGCTCTGCAGCAGGCCTGGGTGTCTCCCTGGCTCCTGGCCTGTCTCCTGTTCCCAGTTCCCAGCTCGGCTGTCCTCCATGCTACTGTAACATCTCTCCCTGCTCAGATCCATCCCTGGTTGGCCAGGAGTTTCAGCATAGATTTCAGACTCCTGTGCTTAGCATAAGACCTTCTGGCTCCCCATGGGTAGAAACTCCCTAACCCTCCAGCCTCATCCCCCCACACCTTCACTAGAAGCATTTGCTGCTGCCACTCTGCGTGCTGGCTGGCTGCAGGTTTTCTGCAATTACCCACACTCGCCTACACAGACCGAGGTCCCCGCTGCCTGCGTGAGCTTCTCTTCGTCCCTCCGTCTGCAGGCTGAAGCCCACCTGCACCTTCCCAGTGGCCGAGTGGTTTCCACATCCCCAAGACACAAGGCAACACATTTATACCCCATCACAGGCCCCCCATGAGCCGGCCCCCATGTGCAGCCGTCACCTGCCGCCTGCCTGTCTCCCCCGTAGATGGAGGGAATTTGTCGTACTTCTCTTTTCTTAACCCCCAGCACCGAGCCCATGGCCTCATGCTCATTCATTCGCCCACTCAACATCAACAAGAGCACCAGCTCCTGGCACTGTGCTAGTGCTAGGGCCACAGAAGCGGAAAAGAAAACCCCACTCTTAAGGAGCTTGCACTTTAGAGAGGAAACCATAAAAAAAAATAGACAAATCAATACAGCATATAACATCAACTGGTACAAAGAACCATAAAGAAAAATAAAGCCAGGTGAGGGGAAGAGAATGATGGTTGTAGGGAGTGGAGATTCTATTTTACACAGGTCATCTGACATGGAGTGGTGACATCAAAGCAGAACTGTAGAGGAAATGAGGGGCCAGGCTCGCAGCGACATGGGTGAAGAACATGTCACAGGAGAGGAAAGCAAGGGTGAAGGTCCTGAGGCAGGACCGTCCATGCAGACGTGGCCCCATGCCGGGGGTCTGGATGCAGCAGAGAAGCCCGGAAATCTGGACCGGGCTGTGTGTGGCCTCCCAAGTGGGAGGTGCCAGAGGCTGGGACCTCATTGTGCATGCCAGGGGTGGAGGTTCTAGAGGATTCTGAGCAGGGGTTCGGAAAGAATCTGACCCAAGGTGTGCAGAGACAAGCCCAAGACCCCTTTGGCTACTGTGCCCTGAGGTTCCAACTCTCAGGACACCTGTCCACTGGTCCCAAGTAGAGGAGGGTGAGAGGAGAGGCCCCAGGGTACATTCCAGTCCCCTTAGGAAGCATGACAGAGTGCAGAGAAGGCATGGTGACAGGCAAGGGCATGGAATGGCTGAGACAGGAATACTCCTCCTTGACCACATCGGCAGCAACCTTACCTTTGGTCTCTCTTCTTTAGCGGGATGGTGTCTAAACAGAAAAAGCCAAGCATTAGGAAGGAGGCCCATGACCATGGTGCAGCTCTCTCGGGGCCCCTGCTGGCACGTGGGAAGGAGGGAAGAAGTCAAAGACAACCCACCTGGGCCGGTACTGAGGAGCTCCCTGAGTTAGGGCCACCTACTGGGGTGGTCTTGGACTGAGTACTCTGCCCCCGCCTTTCGCATTGGTGGAGGTTCCCTATCCATCTGACACAGAGCTCCCTGCGCTCTGCACAGAGCAGGGACAAGCATTCCCTAGGCCCTCACCTCCCCCCACCAGCCCCAGACTTGCAGATCCCAGGTCCTCCAATTCACTAATGTCCTCCGCCTATCCGAGGCCTGGCTGCTCTGGGCACAGGACTGTTCCCTCTCCCGTGTTTGTAGGGATACAGTATTGGTGATAAATAAATTCCTATGACCAATGAAGCCCCTCATGTGATTAGACATGCCCACATCTCTGGACCCCTCCTCCTGTCTTGGCCCAGACCACCCTCTTTTGGATGTCTTCATGGATCCGAATCACATTTTCCAGAAATACAATGAGGCTCCGTTCTCCCTGCAAACGCCTCATGGGAAAGTGTGTCATTCCTGCATTAAGCACAGTCTAACGTACAGAGCATGATTTTGTGGATGGCACCTTGACAGAAAGGGGGTGCAAATCAATGTCTCATTTTGCTATGGAAACTCGCAAAGTAGCCGCTCAGCACCCGCAGGTGTGCCACATGGCATGGAGGGCCAGGCCAGGGTTCACAGGAGCCCAGCACTGACCTAAGTGGTGCTTGCCCAACTTATGGGGGAAAAGTGCAACTTGGTCCACAGTGCGGGCAGCACTTCCCACCACCCACCCACCCTGAGACCAGCCTCACTGCCTCCTGGGACCAATTCTATCTCATCACGTCATTTGGATAAGAAAATAGAAATTTCTTAAAAAAGCCAATTTTAACTCCTCTTCTCACACTTCTCCAGGAAACTCAGGCATACTAAGAGCAACTGAATGAAAAAGTACAGAGAGAGACGGGTAGATGGAAACAGAGACAGAGAGAGTGAAACAGAGACAGAGAGTGACAGAAACTGAGAGACAGAGGAACAGATAGGGGTTCAGGCAGAATCTGACCCAAGGTGTGCAGAGACAAGCCCAGGCCCCTGTGGTCTACAGTGACAGAGAGACACACAGACAGAGCAGCAGAAACAGGCAGAGACAGAGACACTGAGGCAGGTAGTTCCCCGCAGGTCTCGTCGGCCACAGCCTGCTGTGCCCGGGGATTGCAAGTTTTGCTCTTTCTCCAGACAATGGCATAGAGCTGCCCTCAGTGCCTCTCGTCGGTGCCTTCCTGGTCCTGGGGTGCTGTCCTTTCCCAGGCCAGTCGCTCACCATTGGAGACCTGCTGTATGTTTCTCAGCTCTGAAGAAGAGTCATCGAACAAGTTCTTCCGGATCATGCAGATCTTCAGGGCCAGGAAGCCAGCAGAGATGGCGACGCCTAGCCCGGTGCCGATGAGGGCGTACTTGTAATCTGAGAAACGAAGCACCGGACTCCAGTCACCACACTGTAAAGGTCAGTCACAGCTCCCTCTGCACTCCGGTGGAGCCCAGATCATGCGGGTGCACGTCCCTGCTGCCGAGGCCACCCTGATTCTCCACCCCCCCGTGGGCCCATTGCTCTCACTTTCCCCACAGCCAAACCCTTCTTCCTGGTCCCTCCTGCTGTGGAAAACGTTCCCACCCGGGTGATGGGTGGTTCATTTCTCTGGCCTTCCTCACTTATCCCTTCATTTACTCATTGATTCATGTGTCGAGAATGTATTCATCGTCTGCACTGAAGGCCAATGAATAAGAGCCTGTCTGGTCTTTGAGGAGCCTGTGGTCTGCTGGGGAGGATGGGCAGGGAGCTCACCCCAATGCCACTCAACAGGGATGCTCTGGGCCAGCGTGGACATGTAGGTGTCAGGAGTCCTCAGGAGGTGACACGCAGAATGCACCTTGCCAACACCCAGGCAAGCCCCTGATGTGAGGAGGAGCTAGAACTGTGCAGAAGGAGAAGGGACACCCAGGGGACGGCAAACTTACTGCCTGGGCTCACTGCTGTGCAGGGTGCCGTGGGCACTGGAGCTGATCATCTAGCTCAGAAACCAGACAAAGGTGGCTCTGAGCCCACATGTTGTAACGGCACCAGACCAATCTGGCTGGACTTTTAGGTAACAAAGCTGTGAGTTGTTTCTCAGTGGCCACTTGCCCTGGGTTGAAGGCCATGTAACCAAAACTGCAACCACAGAAGGTACCTAAGTGCTTGGACTGAGGAGGGCATGGGGAGCTAAGAAGTGGACCCCACCTGGCAGGGTCCAGGACCCAGTCAGAGTGGGTCACTCCACAGCAGGGTCCAGTCAAATCTCACCAGCTGGCATCACCTCTTTGCAAGATTCCATCAGATCATGCCTTATTACCGTATGCTTATGAAGCCTGCCAGTCCTCTTGTCGCTTTGGAAAGTGTCCCCAGTGTGCTTCTTAGTCGTGCCAGGTAATAAAAACCCTCTTGCTACAATCAACTAAGCTGCATCTATCTGCTTGATACCCACCAAGTAAATAAGGTAACAGTGTCCCCTTGGAAAACAGGCTCTAAGGCAAGACCTTGCCTGCTGGGATAAAGCTGTTGGCAGGCCTGGTAGCGAGGGTGGCCCTTGTTCTGCACTGACCACTGTGGAACCAATACTGGCACTGTAGCTGCCTGGCTGTGAATTCAGGGGGGCCTTCTTCCTGTCGCCCAACCCTGCACCCAAAATTAGATGGACAGCCACCTACCAATTTCAGCCCCAGCAGACTTGCCAGGTGCCAACACTTGAGCTCCTCCAACATCTGCAAAGAAGAAAACCCAGAGTCCGGTTAGAACAAAGCTGGCTGTGATCAAACCAGGGGTTCAGGTTCCCCAAGCACCCACTCCCACAAGGCTGGGAAAGCCTGCCACAGGTGCCCCTCCCACCTGGCCACCATCCTCAGGAGCACAGAGGTGGGCTCCTGATTGCCGCAGAGTGTCTTAGAGCCTTACTGGGACACTGGAGGCCCCCTCAAAACCCAGACCAGGAATGTGATTCTGCTGAGCTCAGTTAAGCTCTTTAACATGGTCTCCAAGACCCACACTGCCCGCAGCCTGCCTCTTTAGGCTTCCCCCTCACTCCCAAGACCCCCTCTCAGTCCATCGGTACTGTGGGGCTTCCAGTTCCCCACATAGGCAGGGCATCTCCCTAACCTAGGCCATACCCTCTACCTGCTCCTTCTTCAACCCCTCCATCCTTACCTGGTGTTGGTTCTGAATCACTTCCTCCCTGACTCCCCACACCCGGGTTAGCCACCCTCTGTGTGCCCTGAGATGCTTACGTTGCTATGTGCTTACCCATCCTAACTGACCACACCAACAGTTAACAACATGTTCCCGGCACCACTGGGCTCACTGCTCAGATATTAACCCCCTGATGTGTCTCCTGGCTGGTCCTCCACCCCCGCTGCACAGGTGGTATTACCAGATATCTACTAAATGAACTGTGATCTGAGAGACAAAAGTAGATGCCCCTGTACCCAACTAAGATAGACACTAAGGTTAAGGAAACAAAAGGTAACCTATGGGCCAAGAGTTCAGGACATAGTTGGTATGGTAACTTCCTAAATCCCTACGGCTACAAGAAAAACCACATCCTTTCTGAACTCTCAACAATGGGAGCTGTCAGGAAAATATTCAGGCCGCTCCTGACTCTGATTTGCAATCCAGAGACTACAGAGGAGCTGCTTTATAAACTTTCTTCTCTGATAAACAATTGCAGACCGTAAGCCAGTTCCAGGCCAGCTTACAGAGGCTGCACACACACTGTCTCAGTGTCCTGTAGCTCACCTTTTAATGAAAAGAGCCAAATTGTTCCTCATTTTAATTTAAACCCTGCCCCAAAGTGAACATGGGATGTATATTACACTCATTACACATGTACTTGACTCCTCCCCATGATATGTATAGCTTTTTCCCCAAATCTGCTGAATATGTATGACTCCATTGTGAAATACAGACCCCGTAAGGCATAAAACCCAACCTACCCTTTCCCTCTTCATAAAAGCACCTTTGGTCCAAATAGGAGACTATCTCTTCCAGGCTTGCAAACCGATGTCATCCACAAAGCACCCCTTTCCACTATTTAGCCATCATGGGGGCCTTTTGGATGACAGAATGAATGAATAATGGCAACAGAGTGGCATGCCTCTCATTTCTAGCCAGTGCTTAGAACCTTAAGACAGGAGACACCACTCCCAAACAGGGCCGTGGTCCTGCAGATGGGCCCTAGAAGCACTGAGCAGAGAGGTGAGCCTTAGAGACAAAGGTGCACGTTAATTGGCCCCTTACTTTGAGACAGATATTGGGTGTGGTGCTGGCATCAACAGATTTAATGCTTACAGCAACAGTCCTATAAGACAGGCACTGTCACCATCACCATTTGATGAATAAGGAACCAGGGGCATCAAGAACTAAGGGCCGAGAGAAGTAGCTGTGGCAGGGCCGTACTGAGAGCTCAGGAAGCCGTGCAAGGATGAATCTGAATCTGAATCAAAATAAGCTGCCAGGTACAATAGCACCAAAACCTTCAAGGCCAAGGGCCAAGTCGGGGTGGGCTGGAGGCCAGCTCATGGTGAGGCCTAAGCCTGATTCTCATGCTTAGACTTCCAGTGAAGGCAGGAGAGTGTACCACAAGTCCTGTTTCTCATAGAGGAAGTAGGTGACTTTGTCAGAGAGGACCAGGTGGCAGGATGGTAGAGGCCCTGATGGCTGAGGCAGCAAAGACGTCCTCCGCGTGGCCCTGTCTGCTGACCACTCTCAGTTGTGCCCGGGGTGACATAACAGGCTGAAGCTCTACAGAGGATTACTTTGTTCTGTGTGTGGGTTGGGGGGTACAAGGATCATAAGGATTCTTCTAGCAGCCTAACTTGGTAAACAGATAAAACTTGGGGATTCTGAAGCAAAAGTTCACAACCTTATTCTAATCACAGGTTACTTTGGAAATGCAGCAATTGCTGTCTTTCCCACAGGACACAAGTCCTCACATGGAGCATACCCACTCACAGGCACTGACACTACCACACATAAGATGACCCTACCACACATAAGATGACCCTGACTGTGTTCTTGAAAGCCCCCAGCAAGCTTCCCTAAGTTCTCTCTCGCTATTTCTTTAACTTAATCCTCCTGCACCAGTGAGACTGAGAATCATTCCAGAGATGGGACAAAGCCTTGTAACAGACACTCTGATGCCCTAAACTTAGAGCTGCATGTGCCATGTCCTCACCCTGGACCTGAGCCTTCCTGACACTTCTAGCCCCTCCCTGCCTTCACTGGGCAAAGGGTGGGAGCACAGGAGAGCAGGTTCTCAGCAGTAGCAGCAGTGGGGCCAGGCCCCTCAGGGACAGCCTCACATACTCACAGGTTGCCTGGTTCCCACTGCAGGGGCCTCCCCTTAGTAATCACTGCTCTCCTGGTGAAGCACCGGGCATGGGAACGTCACACTAGCCCAAGATGAAACTTGAGCAGAGAGAGAAGAAAGGACACAGATCAGGAAGAGTGCGAGAAACAGAGACGTACACACAGAGAAACACAAGCAGATGCATACAAAGGGCCAGACCATCAGTGGGAGGGAGGACAAAGAAGAGAGAAAGCCAGTGTCAAAAAGCCCCTGTCTCAGCCCTGACCCTGACCTCCCTGCTGGCAGATGGGCCCCATCCTCACCAGGTTGGCCGGCACTCTTCCTCATCAACCTCATCTCCCAAATGTGCTCTCCTGAACACTCAGGTCTCCCTGCCCCTCCCTGTGGCAGGGGTTCAGCTCAGCCCCCCACAGGGGCAGGCTCATTAGATCCCCCCTCTATGCTCCATCCTGTGTCCCCTCCAAAACTCGAGGTTTCCCCAATCCCTGCCCCCAGACAGCCTCTTTCTGGGCCTTAAATTCTCCTCCCCCGGCTATGACTTGGAGACCGATTGACCTCCCCTTGTGGGCTCACTCAAAAGGGGGCAAAAGTGTGCAATGGACCAAGCTGCGAACTCAAACAGGCAGCAGCCGGCTGGCGATGCCTGCTAGCCAGCTGACAGCCACTCGGCGGCAGCCTTTCCCCTCCTGAGGGAGGG